CTCTCTCCTCCTCCCCCTCCCCCTCCTCTCTCTCTCTCTCTCTCTCTCTCTCAATTTCCTTTATAAAAAGAAACTATCTAAATAAGAAGCATCTCGTTGTACGACTGCTATCTGAAAAATGTATCACATTACCGCTGCTTGGCTTCTCGCATTACAGAATGCGCTTCAAATTTCAGGTGCACTGCGCGTATAGTAATTGGACACCCGACCGATAATAAAATGTCGGTGCCTTTCTACGTGAGTTTCGCCATTTATGACGAATAAGGGGCGACTACAACGTCATCGAGTAATTACGTATGTACACGCTTAATTATAATATAATACCACCAGTCTAGACAAGAGCGGAAGAGAAAGGTAAGACCAGCTAGAAAACAGCCCTAGCACTGCCCAGTCGCCTTGAACAAACTCGCTCTGCGCAACTCAACGCACGATCAACCCTTGTATTCAAATTGATACAGAAACCATAATTCGACTATGAAATTTTGTTTTCGCTATGCTACGAAAATTAGCTGTAATTTTGTGCAGAAAAAAAAATCATACTTTCCTGTAAAATAATTAGTTGTTACGAAATTAATTAAATTATTTGTACTTTATCTATTAATGGGAATGATGAAAGCTTTAAGATGCTCAACACAAAAAATGTTCCCAAGTCTTGTATATACTTACTTTTGACGAAATCTAAAGAGCAAACAAAAATAATGTGATCACTTCTTTTATCGCTAATAACTTGTGCTCATAAAAATCATAAAAATAATAAACTGATTGTAATTCAATGTCAATCTTTGCAATTCAAAATAATAATTAACAATAAATTATTGAAAATTTAAATTTAATATTATTCGCGTATTATACAACTTTCATATCATTATTATTAATATAATAATAACGATATTTTTATAACAAACCAGAAGGGGATATGTAAAAGTTATAAAGCAATTGATAATAGACATTTAGATCTAAACATGACAAGGTAAAACTTTCGATCTATTCAATCTATTATATAATAAAATCATTATAAAGTATGTATAAAATAATTTAATATGTACTGTATTAAATAAAAGCAGATTATTTATGTATTATTATAATGATATTTCTTTATTCAAGATATTACATAGAAATATTAATATTAATATAACCACAAACTTGGTAAATAACTTAGTAGGTAATTTAAATCAAATATAGTACTTGTATTAAAATTTTGTAGTTGTTTAGATAAAATCGTTAAAATTATCAAATTATATGCTACTTCTTATTTAAATACAAAAAAAGTTTACTAAATTTTAAGTTCCAAAGTCAGAAAAAATTTATACATTTTGCTGTCTAGAAAACGTATAAAAAGTCTATTTTATTTAAATATCTTTATATCAATAAATAAATCATTTTATTATTTCTATAAGAGATTTGATATCAAAAACTGATAATGACTAATGTCAATTTTTAGTTGTTAGCGAACTTTAATTATTATCCTATTTTTCATGTGTTGAATAGTTTTTATATTTGACATAAACATAAGCTCAATAATTCTATATTACGTTTTATTATCTCAAAATGTATGTAAAAATTGCTTTAAAAAAATTAAATCTATTTCAATGTCGTACGTTTTTATGAGATTAGAAGTTGGCGCTAATTTTTGATATCACATCTTTTGTACCAATTAGAAATTGATTTATTTTTGATATGAAAACTTTTTTTATAAAATAGATTTTTGTATTATGATTTAGACTATTGTAAGACTTTTTCTATTTGATAAGATTAAAAATTGGCGAAAATTGATTTTCTAATATTATATTCTTTTATTTCAATTAATTGATTATACCATGTTACGAAATTGAATAGAAGATATCTATCAATGTGTATTGATGTAAAATTTCGCAAATTTTATAAAAACATCATTTAAGTACTACGCACTCGAAACATTTGTACATATTTTGCATCATGTGTAAAAATAAAATATGAAAGAATTAGTAATGATTGATTGAATAACTGTTATTTATATTATATTATCATACCTATACTATTGTTAAATAAAACGAATATTAGATGTATATCAAAGTTATAGGCATTATAAGAGACATTTTCTGAAATTTGAGAGAACAATCGATACTTGGTCTTAGGAGAATACCCTCTTGGCGGTTTACAAGCATAGGCGGTGCTATCATACTGACCTTTCGCAATATCGATTAATCGCACGTTACATAACCGGCATCGTGAAGCAATGAAAAGCAAATGCATTCATCAGCAAGCTACTGCAATGTATTTCTCTAGGTTTACTTGCTTATCCTTTTTCAAGAAACGAATTTTTTTGTAACAAGACTCTTTATTAAATTGTAAATTAATCACAAAATTATATAATTTATTTCACAGTAGTGAGTGGCATTTATTAAACTTAGAAAACATAAAATTTCTGCATTTTTAAAAAAATGCATAAATATGTATATTCAATATTTTGCGAATGCAAAATGCAATTGTAAAATACGTACGTTTATTGCACAAATATCGTATAATGTCATAGTATAAAATGTATTATCATCAGGGCCTCATTAAATTTGTCAACAAACTGATCAATTTAATTGGAAATTGACTGATTAATCGAAAATGAAGTGAAAGAAGCCTTAATGATAAATTACATTAAATATTAAATTACATGCAAAAGGAGAATGTTAAAAATAGGTTATTTTTTACTGAATAGCAGCTTAAATTATTGAAAATTGTTTATGACATTTTCTAGAAACGGGAAATAACAATTATTTGTCAATCAGATTCAAAGAAAGTTATGAAGATTGATATTCATTGGTGTATTTGTGAGAGGCGATCTTTGAGTTCGAACTGCTATTTGAAGATAAGAGCGAAGCGTCATTCTGAATGACTGGTTGTTTGATTGTTATTAACATCGTAAATTAGCTTCAGAATTGACAGACGCATGCTCCACGGTATTTCTTTACTAATTAGAAGACAATCTCTGTGTGTTTTTTTTTAAACAATTTTCTTTATTTTACGGGTGAATCTTTTCTTGACGCGAGAGCTTACGATTGCACATACAATTCGATGAACATTGTTACGAACTGTTGAAATAATTATACGAAATATTCTTTAAGTTTGTATTCTTGATATGCCTTTAAAATAAAATCAATTATACATTTATATATTGAAAGATAAATAGTAAATGTAACCAGGATATGATTTTTTTTATTCACATAAAATACAAAGTAAAACTTTGAAAGTTAAACATT